ATTTGAAACAATTCCGGTGACTAATGTCGCTAAGATCATGAAAATACCGAATATTGGAAGGTACCATTATATGCGGGCTATATGAAAACGTGGACCTACATGACCCATTTGCGAACTTAACCTGCCTACTGGCAAAATAAACATGTGTGCAAAATTTTAGCCTTCTATCTCAATTCTTTCGAAAGATAGCGTGATTACAACAGACAGACGGACGGACATGGCTAAATCGACTTAGAATTTTACGCTGATCAAGAATAAACATACTTTGTTGGGTCTGACCTGAGTATTTCGAGGAGTTACAAACGGAATGACAAAGTTAATATAACCTCCATAAAATGGTGGAGGGTATAAAAAAGACACGTTTCGCTTCCGTTCTCGCTTCCTTTTCCATGTTACAAACAAATACACAAAGACCCTTACCACTAACAATTCACGGTAAGGCCTTAAAAAATAATCTCTACAAAAATAATTATTTTCAAAAGTCCACTGTTGGAATTCCGCAAATATTTATTTTCAAAACATACACAGTTACACCTTCAAAAATATATTCAAAACAAGTGAGCAAAGGCTATAGTCGTGCTGGGCCGACCATGTGATACCCTACAACACTACAATATGTTAGAAGGGCCCTTATTTTCGAATCTATTTTGGAAGATTTCGTGTTTAAAATTATGTCACGGACCACTGCCCAGATATTACCCTTTGCATTTGCCAAATATTTACGCACTTCGTCGTGCTGTTAGTTGTTGTGGTCTATTTTACAGCTAAATATAATCCAATGGTCATCCAATATGCTAGAATTCTTCCCTGTCCTTAACTCTCTTCACAGGTGTGTCGATTGGCTTCAATTGTGTGATCAAAATTTTTTTTCTGTTTTTGGTTGATTTGAGCCCTTAAATATTTTGCGATCATCTCCAAAAGTAAGAGGCCCCTTCTTATCTCCAATATATATATATTCGTCAACGAAATCGGCATAAAAAATCCATATGTTCGCCTTTTGTGTATTTCGGATATCGCCTCTAAGTAATGTTGGTATTTTTTCACACAAAAGTAGTGGCTCATTCTACCCGCTGTCCTAAATTCTAACTACATGCGAGATTTCGTGTCCTTTGGTTTCTATTTGTGACCTTTATAACGGCTGCAAAATCAGGAACATTTTCAGTTGTTGGTCCATTTCAACCCCTAAATATTATTTTTTGCCAAAAATACATTCTAAATTGACAAAATTTGTCAAAATCGCTCCAGCCATTCTGGAGATATAAGCATTCTAGCTAACATCCTCTTCCTTTGTACATATGTATTGTATGTATTTCGCTATATATAACCGATATATTTACTATCGGCATCTACGTAACGGTCAAAATTGACCTTTTCGTCTATTTGTGATTTCGCCGGGATAAAAAATATTCGCGGTTTAAAATTTGACTTTTATTTAACACAAATGTTGTGCCCTATTTCACCCACTAAATATTACCCGATGACCATCAAAATTGGAAGGCTTCTTTCCAGCCCTAAGCTCTAGCTCCATGCTAACTTCCGCGTCAATTGGTCTATAATTGCGACCTGTAGAGCAACTGTAAAATCAGGATTTTTTCAGTTGTTGGTCCATTTTAAGCCATAATTGCGACCTGTAGAGTGATTACAAATTAACATGGACAGACGGACATACATAGCTAGATCGACTCAGCTCGGCGAGATAGGAAGATCCATATATACTTTCCTATGTGGGAAACCAATATTTCGTGGTGTTACATAATTTTTGGCACAATCAAACTTATAATACCCCCAACACATAGTGTTGTAGGGTATAAAAAGGCAAAAATTGTCTTAACGATACTTTAAAAAATTTTCTTAAAAAATGTTATATCCTGAAAACCATCCTTCAAATATTCTTAAAAGTCATCGATCACAGTCCTAATAATTCTTTTCAAAATATTTCAAAAAATCCAAAATTTTCTCAATTTCTTATAAGACGACTTAGATTCCAATAATTTTTATACCCTCCACCATATATAATATAAAGGCTGATATTACCCATTTACGTATCTGACCCAGGGCTGATAAAAATATTGGTATTTCTGTGAAAATTTTGGGAAGGGGTGTATCAGAAGGAGTGGATCGACATTGCCCATCTATGAACTCGATCTAAGTTTGATAATATTATTACGAAGTACCATATTTGGACCTAATTGGATACTCCCTTCAGAATAAAGTCAGAGAGACAGACACTCTTAAATCGATTCCAAATGTTCTGAAACGGATTCGGTCCAAAGAAACGTTATTTCGATGAGACATGATCAAATCAGATACATCCGCTGCTCATATGACTGGGAGTATAAAGATCAACTAGTATAACCTCGATAATCCTTTTTTTTAAATCATCAGACTACAGTCCTTCTAATATTTTTAAAAGTCGACTACGATTATAAACTGATGATAAATATAGTCCTTATGATTCTATAACAAACAATTAAAAAAACATTAAGTTCGGCCGGGCCAAACTTTTAATACCCTCCACGTTAGGGTAAAGGAAACATTAGAGCCCATTATTCCAATTTTTAGACATATTCATGAGAAAGTGTGCCAAAAATTGTCAAAATTCCGAATATCGGGAAATACGGCTATATGAGGCTATACAAAAACGTGGACCTATACATACAATGTTTCGCCAAAAGAGCTAGAACCCATTAAGACTAACTTCTAGACAAATTCGCGAAGAAATGTAGCAAAAACCATTAAAATGCCGAATATCGATAGGTACCGTTATATGGGGGCTATACCAAATCGTGGACCTATACATGCAATGTTTTGCCAAAGGATCTAGAACCCATTATGACCTACAACTACCAATTTTTAGAGAAATTAGTGAAAAATGTGTCAAATATCATCAAAATACCGAATATCGGCAGGACTATAGCAAATCGTGGACCTATACATACAATGTTTCGCCACACGAACTAGGACCTATTATGACCTACAAATACCAATTTTTAGACAAATCAGTGAAAAAATGTGGCAAAAACCATCAAAATACCGAATATCGGGAGGTGCCGTTATATGAGGGATATACCAAATCGTGGACCCATACATGCATCGTTTCGCCACCGGAGCTGGAACCCATTATGACCAACAACTATCATTTTTTAGACAAATCCGTGAAAAAATGTGGCAAAACCAATCTAAATACCGATATCGGGAGGTACCTTTATATGGGGGCTACACCAAAGCGTGGACCTATACATGCAATGTCTCGCCACACGAACTGGGACCCGTTATGACCTAGACAGACAGACGGACATCGTTAAATCGACTTAGAATTTATTGCTGATTATGAAAATATATACTTTATGGGGTTTACGAAAAGGATGTTACAAACGGAATGACAAAATCTTATATAAAAATCTTAAAAAAAACCCGAATGTAGTCTAAATAATCCTATAAAATATCCTTAAAAGTCAGCGAATAGAGCCACGATTATAGTGTTAAAATTTCTTTACAAATTTTTTAAAAGTCCAAAATTTTCGAAATACCATGATTGGAAGCTGACTGTCCATTAGATCATTTTCCAAATATTCTTTGAAAAATCCATAAAAATAAATAATTTAGGAACGATTATAGTCTTGATGGTCCTTCTTACAATATTCTTTAAACTCCTCAAAAATAGGCATGCTTGTATTCCTGGTGGTCCTTCATTAAATAATTTTTAAAAATCCACCATTGAAGGGCGAATGATCCATCAACATGATTCTTAGAACTTCTTTCTTGATTTATTATAAAATAAATTAAAAAAATTAACATCTTTAACTCACCTCTGTTGGGTGTTTAACAATATTCATTTAAAGAAATAAGTTTCGAAAAAATTAATTTTTAATAAATTCAAATAAAACCATATTTAGAACTTCAAAATGTTAAAAATTAAAAAAACTATATTTTTAAAAAACCTACGGTTAGACCTTCGAAAATATTTATATTTAAAAATCCACAGATATACCTTTAAAAATGCACTGTTAAACCTTACGAAATATAAAAATAGAAAGATAGAGCTTGAGAGTTATTTTTAAAAAGTTGTGACTGGACTTTTACTAACAAGTTTCTTGGTTAGACCTTAAAAATATTTTTAAAATACCTCGAGAAGACTCTAGGAAGTAATTTTAAAAATTCTCATTTCACTTTGAAGACATTTTTTATAATATAATAATATCTTCAAATCCCTACAACTTTTTTGGAAATTCCCATTTGGAAACCCTAGGTTTTTTAAAATTCAAAGTTAACCCTTAAAGTTAACTTAATTATAAAATCCACGGTTACATCTCAAGAAATCCATATTTACACCTTAGAGTCATTTGCAATTCTAGCATAAATACTACTCCAAAACACGATTACGGTTCCTAACTTAACCTGTATTTTTCAGATATGATCCATTATGTTGTGGTATGAACTTTTGACAATCCCCATTGTAAAATCCTAACTTATTTTCACATCTACCACTGCCACAAAAAACCTTGCATTTTCAATCAACAATATCAACTGTCTTAGTATTATTAATTTTTGTTGCTTATTTCGCCTTAATTATTTTTAAGAATAACAACAATAATTTCATTAAATGTTTTTAAACAAATGAAGCGTGCAATTTTTAAAGAAATATTTGTCTGTTCTTTTTTCTGTTTCTTTTTTGTCTTTCTTACTTTGTTTCTGTGTATTTGTTACAATCAAAAACGAAAACAAAATGCAAACATTCCGACAAAACTGCTAATTCACAACAACAACACTCGAACACTCTTGATTCGAAATTCGAAACAACACATATTCACCAATTTGAAAAATAAAATTCACAACTACACCGCAATAACCACCTTTCAACAACAATCACCAATATCCCACCACCACAACCACCAACCAACCAACCACTGTCATTTGAAATTTGACCGAAAAAAAAATTAACAAAACAAAAATTCGAAAAAACCACAAAAAATTGGCATCTTCTACTGACCACATTACAGGACATTACAAGTGAAATTCCAGCATTGCAGCCCAGCTGCAATCAGGAGGTTATTATCAATTGTCGCCAGCAGCAACAGCACCAACAACAGCAAGTGTCATCACAGCCAACATCAGTACAACAGCAACATCCACGTACGCTTACAACCAATAATAATAACAACAACAACATCAATAACAGCAGCAACACAGCTACTCAACAAACTCCTCTGGTCTACCCAATACGCAACGGCTGCTCAACCACAACCACACCGACCGCATGTAAATGCGATAGCCAAAAGCTCATCACCCGTTCGCAATCCTCCAAAGTTATCCAGGATCTACAGCCGCATCCGCTACATCAACTGAAACAACAGCAATCGTTGCCCACACCGTTACACGGTCATGTGGGTAACCATCCATCGAATGGTCATCCGCACCATCATCACCACCATTCCAAATCGGTCTCAATACTCGTCTACAAAACACTGAACACGGTCTTCAAGAGCAGCCGAAAAATCATCGTACGCGTCTGTGAGGTAGCCAGCGTCAAGAAGAATTTCAACATGTTCAAATTCAACAAGGCTTCGCAGCAGACGAGGGCCGAGGCCCGAGCCAGCACCTGTACCGGCCATGATCAGTTTGTACGACCGCCAGTATCGGAAAAGTGAGTTGGTTACTTTTTTTTGTTTCGTTTCTCTTTTCGAATTATGAAAACCAGAGATGGTGATGATGATGATATTGGGGTGAAGATGAGGAGAATGTTATGGAGAGAGGTTTTTTGAGTTTTTTTATTAGTTTTATTTTTTGTTCAAAACAGAGGTGAGTTATGAATCGAATGTTAATAAGAGTTAAAAAATCAGTCGCATTGCGTATCCCTAATAGAAGGGTCGCAGATTCACAATCCGGAAAACACTAATAGAAAAATTCGAAATGGCGAAAGGGACTAGGCTTTAAAATTGGAAAAAAGTTATTTTAAAATTCATAAAAAATTAAATAATAGGGTTTATCTAAGAAAATTGCAGCTAAGTTCATCCGGGCCGAACTTTTTTCAAAAAAAAAAAAATTAAATAAAATAAAATACGTTATATCTTTATTCGGAGGCTATACGAAAACGTTGACCTGCATAAATAATTTTTTGTCATAGGCTGTAGTACCCATTGAGATCTTCAAATACGAAATTTGAAATTCTTAGGCATAGACTGAAGTACTCCTTAAAAGCTTGAAACGAAATTTGAAACGATTCGGGTGAATAATGTCGATAAGATCATCAAAACACCGAATATCGGGAGATACCGTTATATGGTGGATATACGAAGATCTGGAACTGCATACGTAATTTTTAGATATAGGTTGAGTATCCATTACAAGCTTCGAATACAACACTTCGGGTGAATAATGGCGCTAATATCATGAAAATACCGAATATCTTGAGATATTGTTAAATGGGGGCTATATAAAGACGTGGACCTGCATACGAAATTTGTAGGCATGGACTGAAGTACCCATTACAAAATTCGAATACCACATTCAAAAAAATTCGGGTGAATAATGTAGCTAAAATCTTCAAAATATCGAATATCGGGAGGTACCGTTATATGAGGGTTATACGAAGACGTGTACCTGCATACGAAATTCTTAGGCATAGGTTGTAATATCCACTACAAACTTCGAATACGAAATTTAAAACAATTCGGGTGAATAATGTAGTTAAAATTATCAAAATACCGTTATATGGGGGCTATACGAAGACGTGGACCTGCATACAAAATTTTCAGTCACAGGCTGTGTTACCCAATTCAAACTTCGAATACGAAATTCGAAACGATTCGGGTGAATAGATGCGCTAAGATCATTAAAATACCGAATAAAGGGAGTTGCCTATACGAAGACGTGGACCTGCGTAAGAAATTTATGGCATATGCAGTTGACCCATAATAAATTTCGAATACGAAATTTAAAACGATTCGGTTGAATAATGTCTCAAAAATCATAAAAATTCCGAATATCGGAAGGTGCCGATATATGGGGGATATACGATATTGTGGACCTGTATAGACAAATCTATTTCTGTGGGTAAAGTACTCACAAAGAACTCTTGTGCAGAATTGCAGACGATTCCCTTGAATAATGTGTCTAAAATCATCAAAATATCGAATATCAGGGGTACCGTTATTTGGGGGCTATATGACATCGTGGACCCATATAGATAATTCTCTTCCAGGGGATAAAGTACTCACAATGAACTCCTTTATAGAATTCCATTGAAAAATGTGGATAAATCATAAAAATACCAAACATCGGAAAGTGCCGTTATATGGGGACTATACGATATCGTGAACCTATATAGACAGTCCTCTTTCAGGGGATAAAGTAGTCGCAATAAACTTCTTGTGTGAATTTTCAGACCATTCCATTGAAAAATGTGGCTAAAATCATCAATATATGGAACATCAGGGGTTACTATACGATATCGTGAACCGATATAGCCCATCTTCGAATTTCACCTGCCTGCGCACAAAAAAATGGAAATAGTTCCGATAATTAAATACGCCATATAGTTTATATTAACTAGTTCGTTTTGAAAATACATACCTCTGCTTTTTCGATTGAAGAATTTTACCCGCCAGAAAAGTTATTTAAAAGAAAAGTGATGATTTCAGAACCCATTTGACAAGCAACAGTTAGCATACGATTCAATATCCACCTCTTCTAAATTTTTATTAATTTTTTTTATTATTTTTTTTTTCTTTTGAGTAATAAAATATTAATATAATTTGTTCTACCTACTTCACCCTACTCCTCCTCCTGAAAACGCCTTAGAAAAGCCAAAAATCTAATTAAGAAACTCAACAAAACAAATGGTTTGAAGCGTTCCAATTCAGCCATCGAATTCGATATATCAGCAATGACAGCTGCCAATCGCAGACATATCTACAGTAGGTAAGTACCCTCAGAATGATAACTCATAACTTGATGATGATTACCCAATAATAAACAATGAAAAAATGAAACAATTTTAAATTTTTTTCTAACAATAATTACAAAAAAAAAAAAAAAAACACAATTGGCAGTGATTTTATTTTTTAATAATTAAAAAAACAGCAAAGCACCAAACACACTAAACAACAAAAATTCATGAGTTTTGCCTTGTTAAGGCGAAGATCATATGTTTTATGATTTATGTGTTTGTTTTCTCTTTCGAGACGAGCTTAATGATCTGAATGTTGCTTACAAAAAAAAGAAAAACTGCTTTATGTATTTTATTTTCAAAATTAAAAAATTATCTATTTCAAGTTTATTTTTTTTAGATTTTTTAAGTTGAAATTTTATTTTATTTAACGAAAAAAAACCTTTCAACCAAAACAAACAACAAATTTTATGTTTCATTTTACAGCAATCGTTCGGCAAGTTCAGAGCAAGAAAACTCCGACCAATCGGAACATTCGGAGAAATCACCCTTGGTTAGCGCCAGGTTAGACAGTTTGGCTAGGCTATTTTTTAGCAAATCGATGCCAGCGGAAACCGGAAGTAGAGATACTCTAGATTCAGTGCTAACAACAAGGTTGTCACAATTCCTGTTCACTGGTTTATTCTTTTATTGGGTTCTTATTCTATTTTTAGAGACTAATTTTCTTGTGTTTTCTTTTTTTCGTTCCTCTTTGGTAACAATTGGTTTAAAGTATTATTTTGTTGTTTTTTACTTTTGTGGATTGGCATTAGAATTTGGATTTTATTTTTTTGTTTTTTTTAATTAACAATTGGCTAAGCTTTTATTTTTATGTTTGAAATATGTGAATATACTAATATTTGGCTAATGAATGGTATTTGTAATTTAAACTCGTAACACATGGGCTGAGAAGTTTTAGAAGTTAATTTTTTCGTTCAAATTGAATAGTCGTTTAATCCTCTTTAAGACTTCTAAGCAAAGGAGTCTTTATTTTAAATATAAAAATTTATTCAATTTGAAATAAAAATTCCTTTCAATTGAATGAAACTAAAATGAGTTTTGGGTAATTTTCATATATCTGTGCTCATCTTTCAGTTTTTCGTACTTGTATTATGGTTTTCAAAAGAGCGGTGTCTAAAATGTTTTTAGAAAATTCCACTTACTGTGGAAAGCAGGTGGTAAAATTATATGAAGGTTTTACCAAATAATGGCCTCATAATGAAATTTTTCATCTCCTATTCGACTGTAAATTGTGATTCAGCATTTTTATATTCTTGACATAACATTGACAAAAAAATTCCCACACTTGGATTGAAAAATAGATATAATAAAATTATATTTACTTTTATATTTTTTGATAAAGTCAATTGGCGCCATTATTAATTAGATGTTAAAATTCTTCAATGTTGGTCAAAAACATCAGGGGCATAATGTATTCAGTTGGCCTAATACGAATACCCTGAAGTGTGGATGGTACAGTAGTTGGAAGTCGTAGCAAATAATACCTTTTATATACCCTCTATGTTGTGGCTCGGTTGAATTGAAGTAAATTCTAGGTAAAAAAAACTACATAAACTGTTGGGCGCCATCTTTTGTAAATTGAAATTTTTGTTTCGCGAATTTCGCATGGGGCTTATTTAATTTAAGTTAAAACTTTTATGTTTCTCTCCAATAATATATGTTGGGCGCCATTTTCATGTGCCCTACATTTCGTGATGGAGAATGGATTACTTCATTGTAATGATATAGGGATTGTTATCTGTTGAGAGTATGAAATACCAAATTTAATACTTAAAAAATCTATAGAAAATGAGACTAGAATCATAAAAATTCCGAATACCGGGAGGTGTTATTAAATGGGGACTTTAGGACCCATATAGACCACGTTATGTCATAAAAAGAGATCCCATTGCAAACTGAAAATAAAATTTTCAAACAAATCCAACGGAAAGTGTTTCTAAAATTAATAAACCCCTGAATTATAGAAGTAACCGTTATATAAGGTCTAAAAAGAAAAAAGTTACAGGGTGAGACAAAAAACTGCAACAAAGTCAAACGACATAATTTTACATTATTATTTAAATTTTATTGAATGAAAGCAAAAATGCTGGAAATATGATGAAATTTTAGAATAAGTTTAGATTTGCTCGAATTGGTCACCTTTGACTCGAGTTATGGCCTTCAAACAGCCAATGAAACTATCACACGCTGCCCGCATGTTGCTCTGCTGTATTTTGGCCTATTCCCGGCGAAGCGTTTGCTTGAGGTGATCTACACTTGGTATTTTTGAGTGCCAACCTTGCTTTCCAAAATATTCCAGACACAATAGTCCAACGGATTGGTATCCGGAGATTTTGGTGGCTATTGTGCGCTGGAAATCAAGCGAGGAACCTAATTTTTGCAACCATTCTTGGGTGGCGCGTGCTGAGTGCGATGGTGCTAAGTCCTGTTGGAATGTCGAAGGTCTACGGCCAAAAAGTTTGCGTGCCCAGTGCTTTAATACACCCTCCAGAATATTTTCGCGATAATATTCCGCATTTACTCTGATGCCACGATCGACTAATACGAGCGGAAAGCGGCCCACACTATCACCATGGCCGACGCTTGAGTTCTGGTGGCCAACCGAAGGTGCACATTTTCAGCTGACCTCTTTGGCAAGTAAACACGATCATTTTGTTTGTTTACAAACTGCTGGACAACGAATGTTTTCCAAATTCTGCAGTTCACCAAATTCGACCAAGCGAAGCAACTCTATAGCTCTATTGAGTCTACTTTCTTTCTGTTGCGGTGTAATTTCTTGCACTCTTTGGAAGTTCAATGGCTTTACCCCGAGCTCAATTTTCAATATTTGCCGAATGGAATATTGCGATATGTTCAGCTCACGAGCCATTTTTCGCCCACATCGACGCGGGTTTCAATCAAGTCGCTTCTTTACTTTTCGAACCATTTCTGCTGATGTTGCTGTTTTCTTCCGTCCACTTCCTTGACGTCGGGCTACGCTACCAGTATCACGGTAACGAGCGATGGTACGAGACACAAAAGAATTATTCACATCACGCTTGAAATCCATTACAAATAACTTTTTCTGAAAAATTCTCACCAAAATGCTTTTAAACAATATAATAAGCTCTCACTGGAATAATTTTAACAGCTGTCGGACGAGTGTTTTTTTGAATCTCACCCTGTATATGTATACTTTGTTGACAAAATTAATATACCTCCCACAGTATAGTGGAGGGTATAACAACTCAGACATCCTTGCTCTGAAATCCTTCAATTTTTTTCATTGATCCGACCCCATCGAAATTTAATAACTACACTCTTTTCTTTTTTTCTTCTCCTCATTTCTTCCTGCCGATTGAAGCTGTTGCCGAAATAGTACAGCCGCGCATCCTTAAACCAAAGAGAAGTTCAAAGATCATTTTAATGTGAACCTAAAGTTCAATTTTTATACCCAACACCACATATGTCTTTGTGGATGTGTTTGGAGAAGGAAGCGATATAGACCCATATTTACTTTTAAGGATCTCCATAGAATTCTGAGCCGATGTATGCATGTCTGTTCGCACGTTAACAAAATGCAGGTCGCAATATACGATTGAGATGAAATTTTCCAAACACGATTTGTTTGGCCCAAGGACGAATCCAATCGAAATTGGTGAGAATCGGTTCAAAATTTAGATATAGCTCCGAAAATATCTTCAACAGTCCAATTGACTTGAATTTTAGCACATCCGAGCATATTCGGTATAGAAGTAAGTACATTAAAAAAATCGGTTTAGATATAGCCATAGCTCCCATGTATATATTTCATCCGATTTGGGGTTTCAAGCCCCTCACATGCGTAATATGCTCTCCATAACAATGATATATTTCATCCGATTTGGGGTTTCAAGCCCCTCACATGCGTAATATGCTCTCCATAACAATGATATTTTATAGCAGATGCTGCTCGACAATACCTCTGCCAAATTGTATCGAGATCGGTTAAGATTTTTATACAACTTCGATATACATCTTCATCCGATTTTACGCTTAGTGCTCACCATATATGTAATATCAGCCCGATGTGAGAAGATTTTTTCATATTCAACCGAATATTTCCATTTGGTGAAACTCGGTCCGGTATATCTCTATATATATTTTTAATATAATCTTATCGAAGTCATATCATGCACTATAGAGCAATGTTATTTGGTTCATAGTTGATATGATCTACTTCACATAAATTCTCAATATAAACGATTTTGTCAGGGGAGCTCTACTAAATACGCATAATTGTGTAGGGTATCATATAGTCTGATTTTCTTTAATAAAAAGTCTAAACTTTTGTCTTTAAAATTCTTCAAGAATATTTAATAAAACTACTTGGGAAATATTAAATAAAATTCAGAATCCATAAATTCCCTCAAAAGTATTTGATGAAAAATTTGGGCACTAAAGCCCTTAAAAACTAATTAAATGGAATCAGAAGGAGTAGTCCGATATTGTCCATCTTCATAACACATCTTGTGTTGATAGAAGTATTGGGATGTACCGAGATTGAAAGTAATCGGATGCCCATTTCGCGTTTTATGTACTTAATGGTTATTCCAAATTTTGACCCTTTGTGGGGTAGGTACCAGAAGGAGTGGTCCGTTCAATCCGTTCTTCACAACAGACCTTGTCTAAGTGGAAATATTGAAATGTGCCAGTTTAGAGGTAATTGGACTCTTGTAAAAATTTTATAAACGTTATATTTTTCAAAATGTTGACCAAAAGTAGTGGTCCGATATATCCCATTTACAGCAGGCCTTTCGTTAACAAAAATATTGGGATGTGTTAAATTATAAGACAATTGGATTCTTATTTCACATTTTATAAGAGTTATAATTATTCGAAATTTTGACACATTGTGGGCGAGGTACTTGATGGAGCGGACCAATTTTGCCCATTTTAGCACCTGACCTACCACTGTAAAAAAGTTCAAAGTTTGCACAAAATCAGATGATCCGTTCTCTTTCTATGAAGCAAATTATTTTCTTTGAAAATTTCGTCCTTTTGTGGGGTAGGTACCAGAAGGAGTGGACCGATTTTGCCCATCTCCAAACTCGATCTAAGTTTGATAATAATATTACGATGTACCAAGTTTAGACCAAATCGGATACAGCATTCGAGCGTTATCGTGCGCACCAACCAGAGAGACGGGCGGACGAACATCTCTAGATCGACTCGAAATGTCCTGTAACGGATTTGGTCTAAAGAATCCTAGGGTCTAAAACCGTTGTTTCGATGATATATACCATCTCTAGCCATATGGCTGAGGCTATAAATATTAAATGGAAAATCCACGATTTTCTATGGGAAAATTATGATCAATTATGGCCTTGAACTTCCTTCCAAAAAAATTAAACTAAATCACATTGTGTGGCCCTCTTTTAAAACGTTCAACAATTTTCGATTAGGGCTTTTAAAGTCTTATAACAACATTTTTTAGAAAACATTTAAAAATGCATGCTCTTTGTATGAAAACTCTGCGTATGATTGGTATGAAATATAGGAAATAAATGAAATAACTCATATGTTTAGGGACTGGTGTAATGAACTATGAACTAGAATCCCACAACTCTACTGCA